ACGAGGAGCTTCGGCGACACTTCATCCGGGCATATGAGTCTGATCCGGACTTCGCCACGCTGTATGCACAGCTATCTTCGGATCACCCGCCGGCCAGCCACTATCGCATTGCCGACGGGTACTTGCTCCTCCACTCGAGAGGCAAGGACTTACTATGTGTCCCACGCGACCACCGTCTTCGGACTCGCCTCCTCGGCGAGTATCATGATTCGCGACTCGCCGGCCATTTCGGAGTCAACCGCACTATTGCACGGCTTCGACAGCGATTCCGATGGCCTGATCTCATTACCGATGTCACTCGGTACTGTGACTCTTGCGAAGTTTGCCGACGCAGCAAGCCCCGCAACCGCAATCCCTACGGCGAGTTACGCTCGATGCCTATCCCACGGAAACCCGGTCTCTCCATTGCCATGGACATCACCGGTCTGTTTCCCCGCGACCGGCTCGGGCACGACGGCATCCTCACGGTTGTGGACCGATTGCGTAAGTACGCTCATTTTTTCCCTTGCAAGTACTACTCCACGGCTCCCGAGCTAACACGCCTCCTGCACACCGGCTGGATTTGCGGCCATGGTGTACCGGAAGACATAGTCAGCGACCGCGACACTCGCTTCATGTCGGCATTTTGGACTGCACTCATGCAGGAGTCCGGCACGAAGATGAAACCAAGTTCGGCTCGGCATCCACAGACAGATGGGCAGACGGAGCGGGCCATTCAAACCGCTCAAATGATGCTTCAAACGCTCATCCGTCCTGACCAGAAAAATTGGGTTGACCGCCTCCCCGACATCGAGTTCGGCGTGACTCCATTCGAGTTGCACCACGGTGGACGGAAAGGCCGGATCTTCGCCGACCTTCTCCTCCCTCGACCAGCCGACATTGACGCTGCGAACACTTCGGTGCATCCGGCGATTGGCGTGACTCCATTCGAGTTGCACCACGGTGGACGGAAAGGCCGGATCTTCGCCGACCTTCTCCTCCCTCGACCAGCCGACATTGACGCTGCCTGCTCTCCCGCTTCCGTCCGGAAGTACAGGGAATTGCTGACTCAAGCCCGCGCGAACATGCAAAAGGCTCAAGTCCGCATGCAGCAACAAGCCAACAGGGGTGGCGTACCATATCCCATCCGCACCGATGGTCTGGTTTGGGTCTCCGCGGAAGAGTTTGCACTGGAATAGGATGTTTCACGCAAACTGCTTCCCAAGTGGTTTGGACCTTGGTCTGTGACAGCAGCCGCGGGCGATGAGCCCGATGGCCCTTCGTTTGTGATCAACATTCCCGAGCATCTGACGGTCCATCCAGTCTTTCACGCCTCGAAGCTGGCAACATATACACCAGCTAAGAGCGACGACTTCCCGGGCCGACGATCGCAGGACCCTCCTTCTATGGATGGTCATCAGGAAGTTGACCGCGTCATCACGGATCGCAAGTACGGCAGCAAGCCGCGCCAGTACAAAGTTACATTCAGAGCATGCGATCCCGACGACACTCGGTGGATTTCAGGAGCAGATTTGAAAGCATCCTCACCGCTGATCTACGCTCACTACGAGCGACAAAGGTTAGCTAAGGGACCTCCATGACCTGCCCCTCCCACCCGGACTGTGGTCCCTCCCTCAGACAGACAGCTTCGCCCTCGCAGGTAATCTCGGTCTTTCAAGGAGGGGGGGGTATGGCATACTGCGTAGCCACACGGGCCCTGCAGGGCCCGTCCCGCACTTTCAGCCTAAAAGCCTAAAACTTAGGGCTTACTGGCCCCGGTCATTTCAGCCTGAAAGCTGAAAAACGAGGGCCTGGAGGCCCTACTCCGTTTTCAGCCTATTTCTGGGCCTTTCAGGCCCAGAAGCTTTTCAGCCTGAAACGGAGGGCCATTTTCAGGCCCTCATTGTGTTCGACCTACCTAAGACTCAGGCACAGAAACAGGGTTTCGGGAACAGGCCAGAAATAGCCTGTTCCCCACGCCACCTCGAGCAGGAGCTGCAGCTGCAGCCCCTGACTGTCCCAGGCATTGGCAAGAGCAGCCTCCTGGACTGTTGCCTCGCCTGCAGCCGGTCCAGGCCGAGTAGTACATAGGGGTTCCCATGCACTTCCGAGGTAGGTAGTTGGACAGTAGTCAGGTAGTAGTCTTCAGGATAGCAGAGCAGCACTCAGGAGGAGCGCTGCCCAGGGCAGCTTAGCGCTAGTGGTAGTCTTCAGCGCTGGGCGCTATAGTAGTAGTAGTAGTAGTGGTATAGGAGAGAGATGACTGGCGGAGGCCAGTGGTACTTACCTGTGGCGCCATCGCTCCAGCTCCATCTTCGAGGTACCTGCATCACAGCGCCACCTTCACAGGTTAGTACTGGACTGAGAGAGAGAGAGTTCTTCCTCTTCCTCTTCTAAGTCCATCTCTTCTTCCCCTCTCGCTGCCTACTTCTCAGTATCTGTGGACTATGAGAGAGAGATATGACCTGAGACTTGACGACATTGGATACAGACTCGACATTTGGGATTCAGACATTTTGACGAGGGACTATTTGGGCCTGTGCCGAAGACTTGGTGTTGACGACATTCCCATCTTTCCCTCTTCTTCGTCTAACCCCCCTCTTCTTCGTCTGTGTATGTGTGGGGCTGGTGCCGTCTTCCTATGTGAAGCGCCAGACCCCTTTCACACCCTGGGACGATGATGATGATGTATGTTCAGGGCTGCATTGCAACATTGATTGTTCGGATCATTGGTATCTAAGTCTTCCGTTTGCGCCATCTTGTACTTCGTATTGAGAGGTCGGTTCTTGTTCTGGTCTGCACGTTACAGTATGCAACATGCAGTGACCCCCACAAATGGTTGTTCGAGATTTCTGCACCTTTTCAAGAATATGCTCTCTATTTTTGCCATGATTTGCTGTGTTTTCTGAGCATGTGAGTCATGACCTCCAGCTATCATATGTGCGCTGTGTTCTTGCCTGCATCTAAGTCTCCATCCGTGTGCTAAGTCTGTTGACCGTGGTGTGTGGCTGTGAAGTACCATGTACGTTGAATTACAGGGACAGGACTGAAATTAGGCAGTGAACAGACTTGTGGGAAGGCCAGGACAGACAGGGGCGGAGTAGAGTTTGGCGAGTGCCTGATAGGGATTTGCGAGCAATGCAGTTAGGCCCAAGCAATGTCCAGTAGGGTGAAAAAGGTCTGGTAGCTGCGAAACGAGGTCATGAGTACCGAGGGCCATACGAAGGTAGATGTCAAGTCAGGTACACGCCCGGAAGTAGGATTGCAGAATGAATTGATGCTCCGACCAAATGGCAGGAACTTCCGGTAGGCGTAGGGCAGCAGAGTAGGGGGTACTATCCGGAGTAATACCCAGCGTGAAGGTCTCGAGCCCCAAGTGTGTATCGTTCGCAGCAATGATCATTCCACTCATCCACCCGGCAGTCAAGCTGCTGCTACGCCTCAAGGGAAAAGTTTGCAGAGCTCCCGGACATTGAAGGTGTAGCTGGAGGGTTAAGCAGAATTCATACATTGCTATGTAGTAGTAATAGAAAGAGGTAGAAGTGTGAGGCTCAGGGCCTCGATCTGCCCTACTGGGCCCTATTTTCTGTACAGTCGGCCGCCCTAAGTGAAGGGAGGCTCGACCCAGGGCCAATAGGCCTATTTTTGGGGTCACAGCGCAACTGGGTAAATTCAGGCAGTTGCGCAGCGCTAGTTGGTTGAGAACGCCCAGGCCCAGGGTGCCCTTTTCGTATGTAACTGAGGCAGGCCCTGGGCCGGATACGCAACATGGATCGAACACAGGCCGAGGGCAGTTGGACACGGGCAACCACCAGAGGCCCAGGGCCTGATTCATGTGGACTGGGGCACAGCCTCTCGGGGTCTACCCTTGCTTCTGGGCAGGGGCCCAGTGCAGCCAGGCTTCACACAGCAGGCAGGCAATTTCCATTTAGGAAAGTGCCTGCCCACGCATTCCTCATTCGGGCACTGGCTGCATGCTGCACAAGCGCTGCTGCGCTATACGCTGGCCAGCGCTCACACACTCACGGGCGAGCTGGAACGAGCAGGCAGCCATAGCCGTGCTGCGCTGCTGTATGCTGGATGGGGCGCATGGTGGTCCTTGGGTGCATGTGGCATCTGTGAGTTGGGGATCGAGGTTATGAGTGAGGAGAGAGACATACCAGGTGCTTGAGGCGAACGGCATTGGCCGAGATCTGCTCGTACTTCGGGGAGCTGTTGACGTCATCAGCGGCATTGTAGATAGGCTAGGATCGGCCATTTGTAGTCTGGGCGCCAAGCGCCAGATAGGATGTCAACATTGGTTCTTTGTTGATGATGATGAGACTATTCGAACATTGTCACTTATGAGCTTTTGCTGTGCTCTTATTTGGTGGGACTCGTGATGCAGTTCTGCTTTTGGTTCGAGGTCACGACTATCTGGTCTCATGTGTATGATGCTGCTTGGTTTTTGAAGTTTGCTGTCACTCATTTTCCTTGCAATTTGGTATCGGAGCTGTGGTACGGTGTGCTCATCTCGCGCTTGTCTTCTGCCTAAGCGGTACATGCACGCGGTCTGCTGAGCGAGCGGCCGTGGGAGGTGTGTAGTGAGGAGGGCGAAGGCAAGTAAGGCAACCCAGGAGGTGAGGGGTATCGCCGGGAAGGCTACGTGGTGAATATTGGGTGTTCGCAGTGTGATGAGAACTATCTGATGTGCGATTGATGCTGAGGTGGAACGGTGGTGTAATGCTGGTTGTGCCGAAGCAGCGATTGGTCATCACAATCGACATCAGGCCATTTGGTGAGAATATCTGTGGTTGGGGGCAGCTATTTTGAGGTACGTTGCACCTAACCTTATCTACCCTCTTCGACACTTCTTACCGTGAGGATGTGTGTTCTGTCTTGAGAGTCCTCTCATGTGAGGAGTCGAGTGCGCTCAACCTTGAGAGTCGTCAGTGTTCACATGGAGCATCTGGAAGGAGAGGGCGGAGCTATCTGAAGGGCCCTGGACGAAGCACTGGGTCACAGTCACGATGCCAACCCACCAGGAGTAGAGCACGCATGCTTTGCTGCTTTGTCCTTTGTCTTCTCGCTGCACTATAGATGGGTTTTGAGGGGCAGGCCAGTCCTACGGGAAAGTCGAGTATCGGACGTCTATAAATAAGTATCGGCGGGGACCTTCCATTGGTTGTGATCGTCGTCCTGTCTACAACGTTAAATAATTCCCGAGGACTTCAGGGGCCATCCATAAAAATGCCTCCTGATCAACCAATCGGTTGGTGTAAGGCTCGCTGCATGCGAGGATAAATATTGTGCAGGGCTGGCCAGCTCAGCAGGACTCGGGGCACAGGGGTGGGCCGTGTGCACACCTTTAGACACGCACGCGGTTCTGGATTGCTCAGGGACGCTGACGACAAGAGACATTCAGGAAGAACTGAGGGAGGGGTAGATTCCATGTGATAAGTTTGGGAAATGTTTCACTCTGCAAACAGCAAATCAAATGATTCTATTTTTATTTTGATCAGTTAGATGTTCAACCATTAACATGTGACATACAACATAGTAAGAATTGTTCTTTGTTCATTGTGCTTTCTGTTTGTGAACTATTCAAAGTAGAAATAGTTTCGTTTGTAGGAATATGAACTTACCTATTGGACCCAAATGTGTAGTCTCTGACATAGCCACCGATTATTGATATTATTTTATCTTAAAGCGGTTTGTATATCATGTTGCGGTAGGCTTCGAGAGTGTTCTAGTGCAGACAGTGTACAGTGTTGTAGCCTATGAGTGACAGGGAAGTTGCACACCCGGACGATAGGATCTTGCGATCGGCAACAGGCTCGATAGTCCACTTGGCATTAGGACCAGAGGGCGAGAGACGCCTGTTCCGCCAGCAGAGGCAGAGACAGCAGCAGCAGCGGAGGGCTAGGGCCGCAGAGGCCAGCAGGGTATTTGCAAGCGAGGCCGCTACCTCAGCAGCCATGGCATCTGTTGCGCAGCAGAGCTCTCAGGCTAATAGGTCACATGGACTGTAGGGTCAACGGTCGCACAGACCCTGAGTCAGTCCACTTGCGTTCTGGCAAGCCAGCCGATAGTGTTGACCCTCGAGGAGGTCGCCATACAACGAGCAGCTATTCGCGAGGCACAGCTACAGCAGGCGTTAGGAGAGATCAAGGCAGAGAAGGAGAAAATGATTAGAAGAAGAGTCAGGATACAGCGGAGACAAGCGAACGTTAGTGAGTTAGAGGAGATGGATCGGACGCACATGGATGATAATGCGAGGACCCTACGGACCGTCCTGCTAGTTGTAGTAGAAATGCAGGACCACCAGACGGCTCTCTTACTGGACATCCAACAGAGTGTGGCCGTATTGGTCGGACGGGCGCAGGCAGCTCCATCGTCGTCTGGGCCCGGTGCCTGGCCCGTTGTGCATCCTCCTCCTTTTATCCTACCGGTGACCGAAGTATCTTCATATGTCTCTCCTGTATCGGTCCAAGCCATTTCCCTGAGTATGCCTTTGAGAGGCGGGTTCTCAGTAGGTCCTAGTGTACAGGTTCCTGTACAGTTAGTATATTCCTAACCTCCGCCGCAGGTTACCGTAACCGGGCAACCTGCTTTCTTGCAGCCTGCACAACCGCAGGGTACACAGCCCCAGCAGCAGCTAGTGCAGCAGCCTGGTCCCCAAGGTCCACAGCGTGGAGTGGGACAGGTACCGGGACAAAGCCAGTGGGTTCCGAAGACGGCCATCACCTCCCCCAAACCCTTTACAGGGGACAAGAGGGGCAAAGACCTCGACACATGGTTGAGGTCAGTGCCAGTCTATGACCTTGCCGCACGAGGAAGTGTTTGCAGCCGCCTCCTATTTAGAGGGGAGTGCAGCAAGATGGTTGAGTGGTTTAGTGCAACTACAGGGATACGGTCATGACTTTTGCACTTGGGCAGTTAACCAGAAAGTGGAGGACTTCCTTACGCTGGTGGAAGATAGGTGGCATGATCCTCAGGAGGCTCAAAAGGCCACTAACGCAATCCTGACTTTGAACAACAGGTGGTTCAAGTCAGTAAGGGAAGCCACAGACGCAGTAGAGTGTCTGATCTGTGTCCCTGGAGGATGTTATGACCCCCACGTCTTACTCACTTCGTACCTGAGATTTTTTTTTTTGCCTCTCAGGAATCAATTGGCAGGTGAGGCCAACATCAATATGCACAACTTTCCCTCATTCAGCAAGAAGGCCCTAGACCTAGAGGCAAAGATAGGGCATGGACATACACCCACAACAGACGGTAGGAAGAAGGCACTACCTCCCAACTGGAAGGGGAAAGGCCGCATAATGTTCGTTGACAACGATGGTTCTAGCATCGAGTTAGAAGATGACTTCCAGGTGGGAGCGGGTTCAAAGACGGGCAACGTACAAGTTCAGGGGGTGGAACACTCGCTGACTCTGTCCAGAAAGGTAAGGCGACCGGTAGACGTCGTGGAGGTTCCGGGTCTAGTAGTCAAGTTGACCCTAACGCTCCTCCATGGGAGAAAGCGGGTCTCACAGAGGACGTGTGGAGAGACCGGTATAACAGGCAGGCCTGTATTCGTTGTGGTCATGGCCATAACCAATTCAAGTGCCGCAACAAAAAGGCGACCGAGAAGATCCCGCCTACAATGGGGCAGGCTTTGGGATCGTCCGCTCCCGTAGGTAGCAATGTGGCCAGCAGTTTTGGCACTGCTCCTGGAAACATGTCGGGCCAATAGTTGTTCCTGCTAGGATCGAGGTGGTGAGCACACCCTCACCATCTCGAGAGATGGCCCAACCTCCTGACTCCATCAGCGTCCCGCAAACACATTCGGACTCAGCGATCCTATGTTCACTTAATGTGTTTGAGTCCTTAGAGGAGCTAGAGGAGGAGTGGTCTAGATCGGACCCGCTAGCTTCTTGGATGGCCATGGCCAAAGCCCCTAAGGGTGAGTTGTTCGTCGGCGAGGTAGTCATCGGCGACCGTAAGGCCAGGGCCTATTATGACACTTGCTCGACGCGGAACTTCATTAGTCGTGCGTGCGTTGAGAGGCTGCGTTTACAGGGGCAAGTGCAGCGCCTGAGTCGACTTGTGAAGTTGACGTGTGCCAACAAACAGCGCATGGTAGTCAACGACCACCTTAAAGACATTGAGTGTATCTTCCCGTACGCGGGAGGGGAACTGAGACATCGAGTCTCATTCCTAGTCAGCGATGATCTCCCTATGGATATCTTGTTAGGTATGTACTACCTCTCGGTTGCACAGCCCCAATTTGATTGGGACTGAAAAGTGGTCAAGCACACTTTGCAAGGAATGAGGATCGCGAGATCATGTAAGTTTAAAGTTAGTAGTCTGATCAAGTCCTATGGATGCATGTGTGCGGCCGCCTTTTATAATTATTATAAGCAAAATCCGGAGGAGGGTGTGTACTTAGTTTATGTCTCTGCAGCAGGCGAGCCGATGAAAATGTCGTCGGAGATAGAGGGAGTGGTCGCTAAGTATCCTGATCTATTTGAAGAGCTGAAAGGGGTTGTTGAGAGGGAAGTCGTCCACGCGAGAGATTATTCTAGGTCTAGCGTTCTGAAGGGTAGGATCTATCGGATGTTTCCAGGCGAGCCGACAACTCAAGGAACTCACAGAGAAGGGTTGGATCCGGCCTAGTGTCTCCCCTTACGGGTCTCCAGTTTTATTTGTACCGAAGAAGGGGGGAACCTTGAGAATGTGCATTGACTATAGGGGCCTCAATGCCATCACTGCGAACAACGCAGAGCCCCTACCGCGCATCGATGACTTGTTGGACCGAGTGCAAGGGTGTCGATACTTCAGTAAGATAGATTGGAAGTCCGGGTACCATCAGATTGCAATCCGGCCCAAGGATCAACACAAAACCGCTTTTCAAACCAGGTAAGATTTATATGAGTTTTGTGGTGATGTCTTTCGGGCTTTGCAATGCTCCTGACACCTTTCAGCACGCTATAGTGACCCTGACCAATTTCGAGATACACATCCACCGAAAAGTACAATGCCATCCAATTGCAAAAAGAAATGAATGAACTTGAGAGGAGAGAGAGAGGATTAGAAAAAGAGGAAGAAGTAAGAAAGAAGAAGAAGAAGATGTACACCAGCAAAGACAATGACAAGGCTCTTCTTCTTCGCCCAACAATCTCCTTCTCCTTATCTCCCCCTTCTCTTATTCATACAAGAAATAATTATACAATGTTGAATGACTGATCCAGAATCAATGTCTGAGTTCCTCGTCTACCGCAGGTATCACTTAAGGTCCACCATAGCCATGGTCGCCTCTCCCATTCTTCACTCTCATAGGCCGAGGCTATGGCGGACTACTGGGCTCTGCTCAGATGCCCAAAGGACAACCCAAAGCAGCTATGGCAGCTCTAGCTCAGGCCGCCACGCCTGACCCTGCCCCGAAGCTTCTTGGTGTAGCTCTCCCCAGCTGGGGACTCCCTGCTGCAGCGCCCACCAAGCTGATGAAGATGGCTGCCACATAGCCAGGTAAGTACCCTTGGCGCTCCTCCCCCTTCCTTCTTTCTTCCTCCTTCTTCCTCCCTTGTGTCCTTCTCCTTCCTTCCCAGCAGCGCTGCTCCAGCTTAGCGCTGCTCCGGCCAGCGCTCCACCAGTGTGTCGCCAAACTTGCACACCGAAAAAGAGGTCAGATTCTCCGCCCGGCCAAAAGATATAGCGGCCTGCTTTGCCTCTTGGGCGATGACTTCCAGGCCGCTCGGCCTCCCAAGCAACCGGTACCTCCTCCCTTTCGGAGGGAAACATCATTGCAGACTCTGATATTNCCTCTTGGGCGATGACTTCCAGGCCGCTCGGCCTCCCAAGCAACCGGTACCTCCTCCCTTTCGGAGGGAAACATCATTGCAGACTCTGATATTGCCCGTACAAGCCCTAGACCCAGACTGGTTGGACTGATATCCGCCTAGACCTATCCTACAACTACTGGGCCTCTAAAAAATGCCACTTTTGTCTTCTTCTGCTCAGCCTCCGGTACCTGCACATCTACCCCTTCCAGGTGTGGTAACGGCCTACCCGCTACTTGAGTGTTTTTCCCCGCTGCAACCCCTCAATGTCACGGCCACAGGTACGTACTACCCTGAGGGCCCAACGAACGAGCAAGTGCCCTGACGGGCCACACACATACTCATGCCAACCAACACTTAGACAGGCACGGTCACACACACACCCAAGTCAACCAACACTCAGACAAACATGCAGTCCAGCAAGCGTGCACACATAGACTTAGTAGCAAGCTGGAAACTCAGCAGGGCATTCAGTCTATGGGCAAAACTCAGAAATCAGTTGTTTGTTTCAGTCCATGTATGGACGGGTCATCACACTACTCCCCCCGCAAGAGCGAGATCCCTTAGAGCGAGTAACTCATTCTGAGTCCTCGACAAACAGATCGTAAGCGAGCAAGGCAAAGAGATTCATAGAGTACTTTGTTGCAGTGAGCCTTGCAGAGATCTTAGGTACAGCGTTAGTGGCGATTTGTCGCTCGTATGCTTTGACAACACGCGGTGGACTGCGTAGCAGTTCCTGTTTGGAAATCCAGTACATATCGTCTAATGGATGATACATGAAGTGAACCTGGTACTGTTTGTTGCGTCCCTTCCCTACGTGCTGTTTGATCCTGTCTATCTCATGCCCGCCTTTGATCGCGTGAGGGATCATATCTTCGCGATAATCGAATGTCTTAGCATCACGGTGGAGGTACAGTTTCGATGCATGGAACACGGGGTATGTGCGCAGATGAGCTGGCACATCAACTACATACGAAGGGCCAAAGTGATCTTCACCAGTCACATCCAAAACTTCGCAGGGCCCATAATAGAGTGGAGAAGTTTGCGTGAGACTCCCTCTTCTTCTGAGAATTCAGACATCTTGACCCAGACATAGCTTCCTACCTGAATATCCGACGTCTGTGCTTCTTGTTCCCATGATGGATCATGGCGTGTTGTCGCTTGGTCATAGCTGCAATGTCAACTTTGAGCAAGCGATCATACTTGGCCCTGAAGCCAGGTCTGTCGGGTGTTAAACCAGCTGGCTGCTCAGGGAATAGGTAGGAGAGCGGATTCCGGATCTGCCAACCGTAATGCAGCCTGTTGGGTGTCATGTCGGTGGCGGAGTGGACGGAGTTGTTGTATAAACCCTTAACGGAATACAGCTCTTCATCCCATGTTTCCTAATCCGGGATAATTAAAGCGCGAAGAAGTTGAAGCACAGTCGGGTTGATCTCCTCGGCCAAACCGTTGGCTTCGGGGTGTCGACCAGATGTCATACACAGCTTGATCCCCAGTTGAGACGTGAAGTCCTTCCACTCAGTACTAATGAAGCGCGGATCCCGATCAATCACAAGAGTCTTCGGGGTTCCGAACTGCAGAATGTACTTCTCTTGCAACTCACGAATCACTAGTTTTGTTGGGGCATGAGGCAGCAAAGGGATCAGGTTGAGGAACTTAGAGAATCGGTTAACAATCACCATGACCTGTGAGTAGCCGCTTTTACTTACCTTTCCAATGTCGGTGAAGTCGATGGAGACGGACTCCCCGGGGCCATCGGGAATGGGTACGGGTGTGAGTAGCCCCATCGGCTTTTGTCTGCATGGTTTGATTCTTTGACAGACTTGACATTCAGCTACAAACTTTTCAGCAGTCCCTTTCATGGCAGGCCAATCAAACTGTCTCAGCAGATTTGCGTACGTTTTTGCCATACTGAAGTGTCCGCTCCGGCCATGAGCCAAATTCAGAAAGTGCGTGCGGAGAGGCTCATGGTTGGGCACACACAAACGGTCCTGGCTCCCGTAGCGACGAAAAATCAGTCCTCCATACTCGTGAAAATCAGGCTGACTGCTAGGGTCAACCCATAGCCACTCAAGGATGGAACTCAGCTTCGAATCGTTGGCGGTGTGCTCTACGAGCTCCTCCTTCAGTTTCTTCCGGAGGTCGTAGGATTTGACAAGGCAAGTCATGTAGTCAGGATGGTGAGACAATGCGTCAGCGACTCGATTATGACAACCCTTTTTCTGTCTTAACTCAAAATCAAAAATGTCAATCTCATGGAACCAGTGGAGCAAGGTAGGGGACAAGGTAGTTTGTTGTTTGATCCACTTTAGAGTCTCATGATCTAAGAAGACTTTGAAGTGGCGTCCCAAAAGATAGTGTTTCCAGTGATCCAACGCCATGCGCAAAGCATAGAGCTCGCTCATGTAGGTGGAAGTGGCTACCTTTACACTGGGCATGCATTTGCTGTAGTACTCGAGTGGCCGCAAGCCATCGCCGTTGTCTTGTTGCAACATTGCGCCGATTCCGTATTGGCTTGCATCCGTAGTGACTACGAACATCAGTTTGGGATCTGCAATGCGGAGCACTGGGTGACTTACCAAGGCTTCCTTTAAAGCTTGGAAGGCATTCGTGCACGCGGCGTCCCAAGAATAGGGAACATTTTTACTGGTCAACCGCGACAATGGATGAGCAACAATAGAGAAGAGGGGCACAAACTTCCGATAGTATGATGCGAGACCAAGAAAAGAACGCAGTTCGCGAATGTTCACAGGCTGGGCCCAGTTGCGTATGACCTCCACCTTGGTTGCTTCAGGCTCCAGGCCTACGGCAGACAACCGATGCCCAAGATAGATGACACTATCCTTCCCAAACTCAGCTTTCTCTAAGTTGAGATGAAATTGCGTCTTCTTGAGGATGGTCATTACTTCCCCAAGGTGCTTGAGGTGTTCCTCCACGGACTTGCTGAAGATTAGTATATCATCGAGGTAGACCACCACGAACCGGCCAATCTGTTCGTGGAGGACCTTGTCCATGAGGCTTTGGAAGGTGGATGGTGTGTTCGTGAGACCGAAGGGCATTACGGTAAATTCGTAAAGCCTATCTCGTGTTTTGAACGCAGTCTTGTGCTGGTCTGCAGGATCGACTTCAATCTGGTGGTAGCCAGACTTGAGATCGATCTTGGAGAACCTTGCACCCACCTGCGACATCAAGCAAGTCATCTATACGAGGCAATGGATAGACATTCTTTCTTGTGATGCGGTTTAGACCGCAATAGTCAATACACATGCGGAGTTTGCCTCCTTTCTTTGGAACAAACAACACAGGAGCACCAAATTCAGATTCGCTAGGCTTAATCCACCCCTTGTCAATCATCTCATCAATCTGTCGCCGGAGTTCCTCCAACTCGCCAGGTCCCATTCGGTATACGCAGCCCTTTGGAGGAACAACACCTTCAACCAACTCGATGGTGTGTCAGACCGGTCGCGTGGGGACTTCACGTGGCTCGACCAGAACTTCTGGAAACCGATCGAGGAGGTTTTGGATGTCTGGTGGGACAGGTGGGGGTGGGGGATCAGCAAAGGGATCACCTAGATCCGATCGCAGGTCGCGTATAGAGACGACTGAATCTGAAGTAGGATCATTTGGGCTATTAGAGGGTAGAGATATAAAGGTGCTAGAAGTAGAAGTACTAGAAGTAGGGTCACTAGTCGAAGTAGTAGTGGTATTAACCGCAAAAGTAGATGGCACATGGGTAGGATGAAAAAAGAAAAAACAAAACTCTACCTCCTTGTGATTGCGCCATTTCTTGCAGAATTGCATAGCATTCAGAAAAGTCACTGGGGACTCGTGCTTCTCATCCAAGAGGACAGGAAGCTCGTTCCCTCGAGCATCTTTGATCATGAAAAGTGACTCCTTCCACTTGGTCCATTCGCATTGGGACTGCAGCCAGCCCGAACCAAGGACAACATCGAAGGGGCACTTGTCAAGAACATAGAAGTTCAATGCGTGTGTGATAGTTTTGTCCTTGTCAAAGGTAGTGCGCACACCTTTGACCGCATGCGTAGAAGAGACAACTTCTTGGTTGCCAACTTGGGTCTGGCAAGGGTTCTGCAAGGCCACTTGCTTCATCCCCAAGCCCACTTTGCGTATCTCATGAGGTGACATAAAGTTAGTCGTAGCACCATAGTCAACCAAAACACAAAGATAGCGATGGTTTGTGAGAAGTTTGAAGAAAATCAACTTCACCGTCCCTTGGGCACGCTGCTGTTTCATCTCAGCCCAATGCTCCAACTGGTAGTGAAAATCGACCGTCCCAGACTCCTCCTAAGGCTCGACATACAAAACATTACTCACCTGAACCTTGTGTTCAGCAGATGTTTGGGCTTCAAGGGAGGACTGTTGATCTGCCTCAGATTCAATCTCCCCTGCTGTAGAGTTTGCTGAAGTTGACTCTACGCCCGGTTCTAGTTTCCCTGCAGCCTATAACAATCTTGTACCTTATGGTTTGGTTTTTGGCAATGCAGGCATACCCCCTTCTTGAGTCTACCCCGCCAATCATTTTCAGTAATCTGGAGGTCGACCCAAGGTTTAGTAGTCGCATCCTCCAGTTTAGGTGGGATCTTGACTCCCTTGGGAAGTTGGACATAGTTCTTCCCTGCACTCCGATTCGGTCCCTTTGCATTGGCAGTCTTTTTAAAGGCAGTAAATTTTTCCTCTTCTTTGTTTGCATCAGACTCATGGGCTGAAAAACAAGTTGTATCAGAGTCCTGTTCTTGGTCGTCACCAAGAGTGGGGTCATCTGCATCGGCTTCTTCTTCGGCCTCTAGCAGGTCATGCACAGCAAAACGGTTGCTGCCTTTCAACCGTCTGCCGCCCATGGGCTTTTTGCTGCCTGCTGTGGTGACAAGGTCTACACCCTCAAGACTGACTATGTCCTTCATCAAGGTGAACCAGTCAGTGTAACCAATGCAGTCCCTGCCCAGGCGATTAGTAAAGTTGGTGGGAACCGCGCCTTTGACCACATCCAAGCAAGATTGCGCAGTCAGTTTCAATCCGGGTGTAGCAAACATCTTGCTAAGATAGGTCTGCAGGTTTTTCATGGAGCCCGTCCACTTGTTGCGCTTGATTTTGTCAAGCTGAATTCTTGCCCTTGCTGCAGCATGTGGATCCAGGTATTGTGAAATGAGGAGTTCCTCGAGGGAGGCAACCGGGGTGGCCTTAAGCCATCTTGTTAGTTGAATTTTAGGAATCCCAGCTCGTGTAGCTTGGACCTCGAAGAAGCCCCGCACGACCGGTTCGACATTCCTTCTCATGATCACGAACTGGTTCTCAGGTTGAGTCCCCATAATCTCGAAATATGCCCTTATGGAGCTGATCCAGGATTCGATGTCTTCTTTGCCGTCGTACTTAGACGGTATTTGAACCGCCTTACGATCCACATAGGGACCAGCGTAGCTGGGACCAGCTCCTGCTGGTTCCAATCTTGGGGCTGCACCAGTTGCAGAATTTCCAGCCTCGCTGCTTGTCACAACAACACCGGAATCTACACCTATTGCAGGTCTCGAGGAGGTTGCCAACGCATTCAAGGAAGAAGATGCAGTAAGAGAGGCAGAGGTAGTTTCAATTGCAGCTTCGGATCCAAGGGGTAGAGGAAGAGGGTTGGCCACTTGGGCTTGTCGCAGCTCAGCCACCTCCCTTGTCAATTCATGGTACTTGCAGGTTATATCAGTCAGATCATCTTGAAGTGTTTGCAACTTTGCGAAGACTTCAGCAATCTTAGTGGTATGATCCTCAAGATTTATGACTTGAACAAGGGCGGTGAGTATAGACTGCAACTGTTCCCCACACTGCTCTTCAGTCAGTGAGGGAACAATCTCTAGGATGGTCACTTGCCTTTTCAACAATGTCTCCTTCCTCTCCTTCCTCGCCTCTTGTTCCCTTTTGACTGCACTATCTAGGAGTGCTTGTAGATATGGTTTTTCGGCATCATTGGCTGCATCTAACAAGGTCCGCCATTGCACTGAAGTTAGCTGAGCCATTTTTGGACCGTTAGTATTGACAGGTGGGTCAGAGAGTCGCCACTCAGCAAAAGAATCAATTAGACTCTCAAGAGGTTCACTCTCCTTCTCACTTGGACGAACACTCCTTTTCCCAGTCCTTGCCCACTTCAGACGGTCACTTTCTCTCTCTCCCTCCTCTCTCTCTTTTCTTTCTGGTTGCGAGTCTCCACGGGCATCGGAAATGAACTAAGAGAAACAGACTGGAAAGATGAGAGAAGAGAAGGTAGAACTCCTAGCCGGAGCGACATTTCATTTGGACGTAGAGAGCAGCAACCAAAGAAAAACAAACAAGCTCAAATGAGAGGTCTGATCCATCGACCCAGTCTGATCAGACTGCATACGAGGTCCTCTCGAGTCCAGTCTGACCAGCTCCGTGACCGTACAACAAAACAGACAACGAGTGACTAAATGCAACAATGGAGAATTGAGTGGTGTACAGGGTGCGAGTCAAACCACGGACAGTGCAATCCAAAAGACATGCGAAACGTCTCAGCCAAGATCCCCTAGGCAGTGGGTGTCCTAATCCAAGAAGAATGAACTTCGTATCCCAGCCAAGAAGACAAGAGGTCAATGCCTAACCGATTTGGGTCCAGAGGCTCTTCTTGTTTGGGCCCGGTACCGCCGGGTCCCAGGGGTCCCATGTAGGTCACAACCAGGTCCCAACCAAGAGGAGTCCCACAAGGACTTAGTTTAGTCTCTACTGCACTGAAAAACGAAATTTCAACTTCTGGCAGAACCTACAGACTACAACCGTTCAGAGATGAAAAGACAAAGTACTGTAGAAAGACTCCGCATTTAGGTCAAGATACTTCATTTTCCATCCATCAGGTGAGTAGGTAGATCACATGCATTCAGTCACACAATCAAGACCACAGAGGAGTAGGAAAAGAAACCCAGAGTACCCCAGCAGGACAATCAATACCATACACACATACATGGGCATCCCGTAGGTGCACGACACTTACCTGAGTGACCTTGAGCTTCGAGATGAATAGAACTCACCCCTCTCATGTGGTCCTCTTGACCCCTCTAACGCTACCCCTACACTAGTGTCCTATCTCCTAGGAGGGTCTGATCCCCCGTCGATGCTGAAGAACAAAGTAGCAACTTGCAGTCCATAGATGTTGAGTGGCCGCTGACCCTCAAGCTCGCCTACTTGAGGGCATCCCTTAAGTTGCCAAGTGTCTCCCTTGAATCAGATTCCAGGTGTGAGTGCCTCTCACTGTCGCCTCTCTCAAATCGCCGCATGAAGTCTCCTTGAAATGTCTCGCCACCCTAATCTCACTCTCAAGCAACCTGGTTAGGTTCTATGTCGACCCCACATGACCTAACCAGGTGGGGGCAACTCCCCTTAGCCACGCTGCCCCACTTCCCTCAACCAACCAACCCTAAACCTAAGTGTTGCCCTCAACCACTTAGGTTAGGGTTAGGGCAGCAAAGTCAACTCTCACCAGCAAGTAGAATCCGCTCTGATACCAATGTTATGACCCTGGCCAATTTCGAGATACACATCCACCAAAAAGTACAATGCCATCCAATTGCAGAAAGAAATGAATGAACTTGAGAGGAGGGAGAGAGGATTAGAAGAAGAGGAAGAAGTAAGAAAGAAGAAGAAGAAGATGTACACTAGGAAAGACAATGACAAGGCTCTTCTTCTTCACCCAACAATCTCCTCCTTATCTCCCCCTTCTCTTATTCATACAAGAAATAATAGTACAATGTTGAATGACTGATCCAGAATCAATGTCCGAGTCCAGGTCCACCATATCCATGGTCGCCTCTCCCATTCTTCACTCTCATAGGCCGAGGCTATGGCGGACTACTGGGCTCTACTCAGATGCCCAAAGGAGAACCCAAAGCAGGTATGGCTGCTCTAGCTCAGGCCGCCATGCCTGCCCCTGCCCCGAAGCTTCTTGGTGTAGCTCTCCCCAGTTGGGGATTCCGTGTTGCAGCGCCCACCAAGGTGATGAAGATGGCTGCCACCATAGCCAGGTAAGTACCCCTGGCGCTCCTCCCCCTTTCTTCCTTCTTCCTCCTTCCTCCCTCGTGTCCTTCTCCTTCCTCCCCAGCAGCGCTGCTCCAGCTTAGCGCTGCTCCAGCCAGCGCTCCACTAGTGTGTCGCCAAACTTGCATACCGAAAAAGAGGCCGGACTCTCCGCCCGGCCAGAAGATATAGCGGCGGTCTGCTCTGCCTCTTGGGCGATGACTTCCAGGCCGCTCGGCCTCCCAAGCAACCGGTACCTCCTCCCTTTCGGAGGGAAACATCATTGCAGACTCTGATATTGCTCGTACAGGGCCTAGACCCAGACTGGTTGGACAGATATCCGCCTAGACCTATCCTACAACTACCGGGCCTCTAAAAAATGCCACTTTTGTCTTCTTCTGCTCGGCCTCCGGTACCTGCACATCTACCCCTTCCAGGTGCGGTACCGGCCTACCCTCTACTTGAGTATTTTTCCCCGCTGCAGCCCCTCAATGTCACGACCACAGGTAAGTACCGACCCTGAGGGCCCAACGAACGAGTAAGTGCCCTGACGGGCCACACGCATACTCATGCCAACCAGCACTCAGACAGGCACGGTGACACACACACCCAAGCCAACCAGCACTCTGACAGACATGCAGTCCAGCAAGCGTGCACACACAGACTTAGTAGCAAGCGGGAAACTCAGCAGGGCATTCAGTCTATGGGCAAAACTCAGAAATCAGTTGTGTGTTTCGGTCCATGTATGGACGGGTCATCACAACGCCATGAATAGGATCTTTCATGACTAATTGGATAAGTTTGTCATCGTGTACCGTGATGACATACTTATTTTCAATAGGTCTGTCGAGGAGCACGTTTGCCCTTTAGACAAAGTCCTTAGCCTCCTTCGACAGCACCAGTTCAAAATCAATGGGGAAAAGTGTGAGTTTGGCCGCACCCGGATCTTCTACTTGGGTCATGAGATTTCCGCGGAGGTGACCAGCATTCGTGACTGGCCGCGTCCTCAGTCTGTGACTGAGATGAGGTCCTTCTTAGGGATGACCGGCTTCTACCGCAATTTTGTCAAGAACTATAGCATAGTGGTCGCCCCTTTGACGGATCTGACACGCCTTGACACCCCATGGGAGTGAACAAACAGGTGTGAGGTTGCTTTCAGACATCTGAAGCATGCCCTCACTCACCATGAGGTCTTGAAACTGGCCGACACGGATGCCAACCAATATGGCATTGGTGTCGTACTTGTGGAGCAGGAGGGGAAAAAGTTGAGGTCGGTAGAGTACATGTCCAAAAAGATGCCCTCTCAAAAGCAGGCCAAGTCCACTTATGAGAAGAAACTCTACGCGATTTACAAAGCATTCACTCATTGGAGGCACTCCTCCTCGGTCGCTTCTTCTACGTCAGGACTGATCATCAGACCCTGAGGTAGATGAAGACTCAACCGGTGCTCTATGCTCTGAAGCGACGGATCGAAATCATAGAGCAATATGACTTTGAGCCCCAGTACATCAAGGGGGAGTGCGACAAGGTTGCTGATGTGTGGTCGCGTAGGCCAACCTCTTGGGTGCGCTGGTCACTGAATTTGGGGTTGCGGGCGATGTTACTACGTCTTTGGTGGAAGCCTATCACGAGGATCCGTTTATGGCCGAAATCATACGCAGACTCGAGGTAAAAGACAAAGCAACTGCCGACGAGTTTGTGTTGCTCAACGGCCTGCTATTCCTTGAGAAGGTCGGGAATAAACATTTGTGTGTTCCAAATCGGGAGTCTTTGCGTAGTTTATTTTTAGGCAAGTGTTATGATGCTACCGGACATTTTGGGTACAGAAAGACTGCAGCAAATCTGTTGCAGCAGTTCTGGCGGCCCACAATAATGAGAGATGTGAAGTTGTACGTGGAGACTTGTCAGGTATGTCAGAGGGACAAGCCACGTACACAGGCCCCTCTTGGGCTTCTTAAGCCCCTTCCGATTCCGGAAAGGCCCGGTGAGATTCTGTCTATGGATTTCATGGACACATTGGTCAACAGCAAGAGCGGAATGAGATATGTCTATGTCATTGTGGATAGGTTTAGCAAGTACGCTAGGTTAGTCGCAATGTCTGCTACAACCAAGATGGAGTATGTGATTAAGTTGTTTAAAGAAAATAGGGTTAGAGACTTTGGGCTTCCAAAGTCCATTGTAAGTGAGTGGGATGTCCGATTCACTAGTGAGTGGTGGAAGGTTGCAGCTGCAGAACAAGGAACACATCTGCAGATGACTTCTGGGAACCACCCAGAGGCGAACGGGCACGCGGAGCAGCTGAACCGCGTTGTGCAACACCTGTTGAGGCACTACATAAAGCCCAACCAGATGGACTGGGCTAAGAAACTTGCTCTCATCGCCAGCCTGTACAACAATGTCATGCACAACGCAACAGGGGTGAGTCCTAACAACCTGCTACTGACTTTTAAGCCTAGACTGCCTCTAGACTTCCTGCTACCTGAGAATCAGTCGGCAACTGCAACTGGAACATTATAATTTGCATATCGATATAAGCAGTTGATGCAGCGAGCGGTAGAACAGATGCACAAGGCGATGATAGAGTCTGAGAACAAGCACTGTCGCCCATCAATATTTCAGGTAGGGGATAGAGTCGGGGTCAAGTCCTCGGAATTGGGACAGGAGCACGGGGTATCCCGCAAGCTCATGCCACAGTACTTTGGACCTTAGGAGGTTCTTGATATTCTCGGGGAGGATCCGGATGGGCCATCATATGTAATACAGATCCCTGGTCATCTTCACACTTACCCTGTCTTCCACGCCTCTAAGCTTGCACCATTCAAGGAAACTGAACAGTTTCCCTTGCGACGCTCCATGCTGCCCCCAACCATGGATGGAGAGGTCGACATCATCGACCACAGAGAAATGCCAGTTCCAAGACCGACAGGCAGGGGATGTCCTCCTAAGCCGAAGCTGCAGTACCGCGTTCGGTTCAGACATCACACTGATCCTAAGGAGGACAGATGGTTCACTCAGGAGCAACTGATGCAGACCGCTCCACAGGTTGTTGCTCATTATGAGAAGTCACTGCAGAAAGGAAAGCGCCAGATTGAGTAATCAGACTTCTCAGAGGACTATCGAAGTATGGAGGAGGGAATGTGAGGCTCAGGGCCTCGATCTGCCCTACTGGGCCCTATTTTCTGTACAGTTGGCCGCCCTAAGTGAAGGCAGGCTCGACCCAGGGCCAATAGGCCTATTTTTGGGGTCACCGCGCAACTGGGTAAATTCAGGGAGTTGCGCAGCGCCAATTGGTTGAAAATGCCTAGGACTAGGGTGCCCTTTTCGTATGTAACTGACGCAGGCCGTGGGCCGGATACACAACATGGACCGAACACAGGCCGAGGGCAGTTGGACGCGGGCAACCACCAGAGGCCCAGGGCCTGATTTGTGTGGACTGGGGCACAACCTCTTGGGGCCTACCGGAAGCTTCTGGGCAGGGGCCCACCGCAGCCAGGCTTCACACAGCAGGCAGGCAATTTCCATTTAGGAAAGTGCCTGCCCACACATTCCTCATTCGGGCACTGGTTCGTGCCGCTTGTTCTCCAACCACCCAACGAACGTCTTCACACCTTCAATTCCCGATTCGAAATCCGAATTCCTATCTTTAATAGACAGAGAAGCTGACGGCGGAAAATGTGATGGCACGAATGACCATTCGGGTCCAGCATATGCTTTGTTTTCATCTCGTTTGGAGCAATAGACTGAAGCAGACCATTCAGGAGAAGTGCAATACTCTTTCCACTGGAACACAGGATTGTCATCCTGCATATAAAACCTAAATGCATGTGGACGAGTATGACCGGTCAATCTCTTGACCAGGAAGGGCTTAACAGCAGCTCGCCAATCAACAATTTCATCCATGAATGTGCACGATGAATGTTCTTTTTGAGAACTGGCAACGAGCTTGGAGAGGTCGAGCATTGTATAAGCATCGTGCATTTTCAGTTTGCGAGAGAAATGACTGAAAGTGGCATCAATGTCCGTATGTGTGTGTCCCACTAACATAAAACCGAATTCGACTTCTTTGAAGAAGCCAAATTTCACAAAAGCTGCAGCGAGTGCCAAAACGTATCTGTTTTTGTTCTCTCTCCAACAATTGTCAGCTTGTATCCTCAGTTTAGGAGGCAAGTCGCTTGTCGCCTGGATGTCGCGGAGAACTTTCATAATGGATGACACTACAGCATTAGAATCATGTGGATGGCAAGGGTACCATGTGTGAACATGGACCGATGGTGAGCGGCCGTGTGCAATAATAGCTGTTACATTCGTTTTCAACATCGGAATATTTGCGAATGCCTTTGATTTGTTCTCTCCGCCAAAGTGTGGAATGTTGGTCTTGCTTTGGTCCATGCCGTCAATGATGATGCACAAACTGTTGGAACCCGGTCTCTTCGACTCATCCTTCCACACCTCATACGCAGCACGATGTTGGAGCTGCAAGTCCAGGTGTTTCTCGCGTAACGAAACAAAGTACTCACGCACACGCACGAACTTTGCGGAATTGATAGATTCTTTGTATTCGACACATTTTTCACATTTCGTAAAGTTTTGATCAATGTCATGGAATTTCACATGCCAGAACTGCGTTCTCCACATGTTGTAGAAAACTTGGAGAGAAACACAAGGAGCACCCATGTTGTCGAATTGCGACTTTAGCAACTTATAAATATCAACCTTGTTATAGCCAGGGTTGTCGACCCCCGGCCCCGGGACCCCACCGGGGTTCCCCCTGTATGGGGAAAAAAAAAATAAAAATAAAAAAATAGAGGGGGGTGCGCACCGCCGGCGTGCAGCCCCTGGCATTTTTTGTGTCCTGCAAAAAATGCCCCGACACGGGGTCCCCCCCGGGGGCGCGGACCTCCCTTGGCGGGAGCGGGGTTGCCGCAGCACGGGGGCGGGGATGTGCTGGCGGGCATCTGTGTCGGGGTTGCGGAGCCGG